AGCCACCTCCGCGCTTCCCCGAGCTCCCCGGAGGTTTTGGGGTGTGCGAGCAGTGCCTGTGTTGGGTCGCAGTGAAGCAGAGCAGCACTGGGCAGGATGGAGCGCTCAGCCCCAGTGTCCCTGCACAGCCATCAGCGCTCTGAGACCTGATCCTGCAGGCGATCGTGGCTCCCTCCTCGTGGTCAGTGCTCTGCTGGTCCAGATCCCACTGTGCTCCCTCCTCCTGGAGGCTCCCAGATCTGGGTGCTGCAGGGTGGGAACATCCCACTCGCAAATAGTCCTATAACAGCTCCTTGTGGTGCAGTGAAACCTCTGATTGAAGCACCCACAGGACAGGGTTCCCGGGAAGTAAAGATCAGCCAAGTTAAGTGAGGGTTCCCACAGAGTTTGGGGGTGCTGGTTGGTAACTCAGCAGTGATTCCTGGCAGGCAGATGTTGGAAAAATAAGGAGTTTGCACACTATTGGCTGTGCAAAGAACCAAAGTATGACACACACATCCCTGCCCAGATTAACAAGATAATGCCCACTGGCTAACAGCTTGGAGTATGGGAGTAGGACCTGAGGATACGCTGCTGCCCTTTCTTGCAAACCACACAGATGCCTCTTCAAGCTGGGGATCCAGGAGCTGGAAACTGGGAATCCAGGAGCTGGAACTCCACAGCTGAATGTTTCCTTCAGGAAACAGCCATGGAGCTGATTCCAGAATGATCCTGTCACAGCTGCAGACAGGGAGGACAAAGGATAAAGGCTGCTGCAGGGAAACAAGGTGCCTTGAAGTGCTCTGGTCTCACTGCTCCTTTTCTCTCCACTCCTTCCCTGTTCCATCAGCTTGTGAACACTTTCTTCAGCTTCCTGCGGCGGAAGACAGATTTCTTCACTGGGGGAGAAGATGGAGTGGCAGAGAAGGTAAACTATACATCTTCAAGCCTTTAACTCTTTTCACTTACATCCCACCTGTGCCTGTGCCATGCTGAGACTTCCCTGCCTGGACAGCTCCCAGTGTTTGGGTGCAGTTGGGTACCAGCAGCTCGTGGTGTTGATGAAATCCATCCCTGAAGGAAGGTAACAGAGCTTCTCTCTAAGGGGAGGAAGGTAACTATGAGCTGCTGCTCTCTGAGGGATGGTAACAAGAGCTACTTCTCTCTGAGGAGAGGAAGGTAACAAGGAGCTTCTCCTCTTTGAGGGGAGGATGGTAATAAGGAGCTGCTCCTCTCTGAGAAGAGAAAGATAACAAGAGCTGCTCCTCTCTGAGGATGGTGACAAAGAGCTTCTCCTCTCAGAGGAGGAGGGTAACCATGAGCTGCTTCTCTCTGAGGAGGAGAGGAAACAAGAGCTGCTCCTCTCTGAGGGGATGAAGGTAACTATGAGCTGCTCCTCTCTGTGGGATGGTAACAAGAGCTCCTTCTCTCTGAGGTGAGGGAGGTAACCATGAGCTGTTTCTTTTATGAAGGGAGGAAGGTAACAAGGAGCTGCTCCTCTCTGAGGAGAGGAGGGTAATAACAAGCTGCCCCTCTCAGGTGAGACACACATGATTGCCTGCTTGGATGGTACCAACAGTGCAGGGTTTTTTTGCCAGGTTCTGGCCAAAGGCTTGTTTGGAAAGCAAATCTATCAGACACACTGACTTAACGGTGACACACACCATGACACTGATAACCCCAGGTTACCTTGTTTGTTCATCTCAGAAAAGGCACAAAGTCCACATCTCTGCACATCCAACTGCACCTTTGGTTTGGGGCTGTAGTGCCTGAATGGAGTGAGTGTGCTGAGGAGTCTTGGGGTAGCCTGAGTATCACCTGTGCTGCAGGTAACCCTCACCCAGCTCCAAAGCTGCAAAACTAAGTAGTTTCACTGTAAGGAATTAACCAGAGCATCCAAACATGAACTGACCAGACTCCCTGAGCATTTCCTTCCTGTACTTAGCAGTATAGCAGCTGCTTCCCTTCCTGGACCACTGGAACTCCACCAGATGGATGTGTTAGGGCAGCTGTTAATTGCTTACACAGAGTGTAACCCTAACCCACAGTTAGGGTTAGGCAAAGCTAAGGCAGGTAAGGGGTGGGAAAGAGGATGCTCCATCCCTGGAAGTGTTCAAGGCCAGTTTGGATGGGGCTTGGAGCAACCTGGGCTGGTGGAAGGTGTCCCTGCCCATGTCAGGGGGTGGAATGAGATGAGTTTAACGTCCTTCCAACCCAAACCAGTGTGGGATGCTGTGAAATTAAGAAAGATGAATCCTACTGTCACTTTTCTTAGACAAGAGAGCAAATCTCCCTAAATTCCTGGAGGCTGTGTGCTCCCAGGGAGTGAAACTCTGAATGGCAGTGCAGAAGTGAGCACTGGCTGGTGCTTTGGGAGGTCCTGGCTGCTGTCCTGAGCAAATCTGTGCCTGTGAAAGAAAAGTCTTCATGTCCCTGGGTGAGATCTGTTGAAATGCTTTATGGCCTCTTGAAAAAGTGCTTAGAGCAATCTCTTGACTCCATAGAAACCACTCAAAAACTGGGAGAAGCTGCTTCCCCAGCCCTGCTCAGCCTTTGGCATGACAGAGAAAGAGGAGAGGGTGGGAAAGTCTCTTTCTGGGGCTGTTTCAGCTGCTGTTGTGGTGTGGAGTGAGAGGGTGTAGGCACTGCACGGAGCCAGGCACAGTGTGTGCACACCAACCAGCTCAGGCAGTGTAAACAGTTCCCTCCCCATGGATCATCCTGGGGCTGGGAACAGAGGCTGGGACATGCACATCTTGGATTCTGTATCCCAGGAGACACTGGCTTTGTGCTGTGTAAATAAATCTTGCTTTCCTTTTTAAAGCCAAGCAGAAATAGTTGGTGCTTGGTTACACATTGCAAGGCCTGGATACTGTGAGGTGCTTGGGAAAGGTGCTGGATCCCCCCAGGAAGTTCCTGGGATATAGATAAACATTTTTTTCCTCCTCTTAATTCCTTTTTGAGGATCTCTCCATGATTTTCTGGGGCAGACCAGCTCACATACGTGCTGCTCTGCACAGCACCACTGCCTTTATCGACCGTGGGGCAATTCTCTGGCTCTCTGCCTATGTACTCAGCTTTCCT